ATGATAAAGTTAACAGAACTTTGTGTTCCAGGTACTAGGAACATGAATTAATTACTGCACAGAGAACAAGTAGATGTTGAGGGGCAAGAGAGTTGTACTTCACCTTCTGTAGGCACTTTCAGACACATATTCTATTCTTTTCCACATTCTATTCTTTTCCACCTTTCCTATGTGCTTCAGAATGTTTGCTGTCTTTTATGTACTGTNAAGTCCATAGCTCCTGTCTGGTGCACTTTGCAGATAGCTACCCTCTCCATGTTCCAGTTCCATCCTCTTGGTCCTTCAGGCCTAGGATTGATTACAGCTTCTCACTCTTGGCTAGCCCTGGGATGGATCAGTACTTCTTGTTGGTTTCCAAAACCCCATCTTCACCTTTATGAAGATGTATCTTGATACAATCCTCATGTCTCTAAACAGAGTGGGAGGACAGCAGAGCTCATATATTCTGCTTCACTGTACTGACGCTCTTCATTACCCACCTTAAACACACATACAGGTGCACAGGCACCTTCATTACCCACCTTAAACACACGTACAGGTGCACACGCAACTCTAGCATATAGTAATTGATTAAGTAATGTTTGTTAACTTATTATTTGATGATGCAAAGAGACTCAGAAATACCAAAAGATAAAGGACTTGGAGTAGGATATGAGATAGATAGATGATAATATATGGCATGATTATAAAGACAGATTTTACAAGGTTTATAAAATGTGAATGTTTCTCCTAGCCCTTAGGAGTCAGAGGACCAACCAGAAGGAAGCAGATTCTTTTCCCTATTGCTCCATGAATTATTGTTCTTCTCATTCTACAAAGTAAATGGTGGGTGAAATATAGAGGGTAGGTTCATGTACAAAGCCCAAGCATGAAAATCTTATCATACTTTAGATTCATCAGGAAGAGGACTATCCAGCAAGTACAAGTAGGAAGCCAACAGGGTCTCTGAGCTCAATGTCAGTGGGAGATCCCAAGCGGGCATGGGAAATTTCTTGTGACTGCTTTCCTCAGAACTCCCTTCACATCCTTGTTCCTCAGGCTGTATTCGAGGGGGTTAAGCATGGGAGTCACCACTGCATAGAAAACAGACACTAGTTTTTCCTGCTC